AATACATCCAAAATTAAAAACAATACTAAAAAAAGGAAGATCCAAGAAGATGGAAAATCAGGCTGCGGAGAGCTGGCCACAAATGGTCCTTTCATTCGCCTCCAGCCCCGGGTGTCCAGATATGAGGCTATTCCACGCGGAGGCTGCATTTAACTGTTATGAATATCTAAGCATTCCAAATTTTGGAAGATTACCAAATCTCACAAGGGTTTGTAGAATAGCGTTTGGTGGTTTTCCTAGATTTGGCCATTTAAAGTTTTCTTAAGAAATGTTAACGTTGAGGTGGTGGGCAAGCGTGCCGTATTGCTCGCAAGTGCTGTGTTGCTGATCCTCGATGTATATCATGATCTTCAGAAGCTACTGATGATCTTGTAAGAGTTTGGCGATTGCTGCTCTGTGAATGTATTCTGAGCCAGTGGCCGTTGTGACTGCAATTAGCTTTGTGGTTAAACTTTAACAAACTCTGCTATTTTACTGCTTCTTTCACAATGGCCTCTTGGTATTCCAGTTGCCAGACTGAGCTTAACTGCTGGGGTCTGAATGATGAACTTGAGCCTTGAAGGCCAGCTGGGATTCTGTTATGGCTCGATCATCCTTTGCAGCTATGCCAGGAGAGCCTGACGTCACCCTTTCCTTTACCCCCACCCCTAGGAATCGTCTTGAGGGCAAAGTGTTGGAGACAGTGGGTGTCTTTGAAGTGCCAAAGCAGCATGGCAAATACGAGACAGGACAGGTGAGTGGGTTGTGTGGATGGAGCAAAGTCACTGGGTTGACTATGATGTTTCAGGATATTCTTGGTCTCTGGGTTTTCTGAGCTGAGTCCAAGTAGAAGCTTCTGCAGTACTTTTCTTAATGCGTCTGTTGATTTCCTGGTTGGCACTATAAAGAGGAGCCATCTTCTGACAGTCTGTATAACATGTTTTGTAAACGACTCCTGGCTTGGTAGTCCGTGGTGAGTAGAAATTGCAACCGGAAAGTGAAGAAGTTGCAGCTGAAAATAACATTATGGCTTTTTAAAACTTTGACTGTCTAAAGCAATTAGAATAGGTTTGGGAGGGTTGTCAGGAAAGTGAAAGGTTTAAGGGTATTAACTTCCCCAGGCTGCCTTGAGTTGTGTGTGTCTTGTCAGAAGCTGAAATTCTGACCCTCTGCATTGTGTAAAATTTCAGCTAACAGGAATGGAGTCCTTGATCCTTCAGTGCCTCCCAACCTTGGAGAGGCAACAGCGAGCTCCGTTAAAGCTGGATGGCTCCTTTCCTACCATTAGCTTCACAGAGGTGTTTTTCTTCCCTTTTCAATATAGGCATGTTGTATTCTGCCTCTTAAGACCCCCATTTCCCTTGCTCTGGCTTGTCTTGACCCCTTTCTCCCACCTTCTCTTGCAGTTGTTTCTCCACAGTATATTTGGATATCGGGGGATTGTCCTCTTTCCTTGGCAGGCCAGGTTGTACGACAGAGACGTCGCTTCCCCTGTACCTGAAAAGTAAGAGTTTGCGGTCGCTCAGGAGCCACCAGCCATTGACCTAGCAGAGGAGGGGGACTATTTAGAAGCTTCCATGTACCATACTGTGATGGGCTTTCAAGAGAGCGATGGAGGAAGGCTGCAGAGATGAGAATGACTGGTTTTGAAATCGGAGCAAATAACAAGCTGCGAATGTTTGGCCTCTTATTATCTTTGTGTGACACAATTTGTTTTTTTTTATTTTTGTAGAGTCAGTCTCTATTCCTGCAGGGACTTGCTGACTCAATTTCGACAGAGGGCAGAGGCAGTGGGGGTTTCTTGCAGGGAGCAGTAGGAGCAACTTCAGGCAGTGCTGGGTTGGGATCTGTTTGGGTTCCTTCAGACTACAAAATACTAATAGGTGGGGTTTTCCTATATATGAAGTGGGAAACGTGTGTGCTTCCTTAAGGCGTGGGGCAGTTCTGTGTCTGTGACATCCAGCTCTACACAAAGTACAGCTGGTTTGTTGCAGGTGAAACGTAGTTGCTGTCAGTCTGCTAACAAAGCAGCTTTTTCAGCCCAGCCCATCTTGTTCCAGGAGTGAGACTGCGGCTGGACATGGGTCCAAAGAAGTGAAAGGCAAGACACATACTTACTATCAGGTCCTGATTGATGCTCGTGACTGCCCACACATAGTAAGCGCTTTGGGTTTCCTCCTTCCCTTCATGGTGGCGTGGGTGAAGATGGGAGTATGTAGCTGTTACTGAGGATGCCCTCCTCATAATTAGTTAGTCTGACAGCTCTGAGCTGCGGAGCGTTGCCATTCTGCAACCGCTACCCGGGCAGTCCCAGGTACCTAGGCTGGCGATGTAGAAACTTGAGCAGTCCCTCTCTTCTCCTTTGCCTTGGAGCGGACTGTGCGCTCCACCTTTTGATGTTCTTGTTGATCAAGTCATTAGAGATAAATTGTGACCCAGTTGTCAGTATGTTAACGAAATGCAGTTTCCCCCATCCAAGACATCTCCTGCCTCATCTCTTGCTCTTCTCAGAAAGCTTAAATATATTTATTTTAAAATTTAGATCCTGCCTTACTGTCTGTACAGTATTCATGGGGGATTATGGCAATCAAACATGCAAATTACAAATCACAGAAACAAAACAGTACAATTTAAATTCAGGCAAAACTGCAATCAGTATTACTAAAATCAAAATTTTCAGCTAACAACTAACTAACAAATGCTTCAGGGCACAGGAAGGGTTTCTACCATTTTCCAAAATACTGGGATGGGTGAGTTACATACACATCTTTGGAGGGCATTTCATACTTCTGGATCACAGAGAAGGTGGCCTTCTGTGCACTGGGCAGGCAAGCTTTTGGCAGTGGGGCGTTTTTGGAAAGGAAAGGGAAACATCAGCTCGTTTAGCAGATAGGAGTAGATCAAGCCTTCGAGGTGCAGGTAGTCCCTGGGTTAAGGACGCCTGATTTACAGATGACCCGTAGTTAAGAACAGAGCCTATTGTAGCAAAATTCAAGTTAAATACACAATGATTTGAGTTAAATACATGATGGTTCGACTTCATTACACAATATTACTTATACCGTATTATACAATAATGCTGTTCTGGCTTACATACAAATTCAGCTTAAGGAGAGACCTTGGGAATGGAACTTGTTCTTGTACTGGGGACTCCCTGTGTTAGAATTAAAAAAAGCAAGAACTCTAAAATAACTCAGATTTTGAGAGCTTTGATCCCAAAAGGCAGCAATGGAAATGGCCAGACTGTGAACTTTCTCAGGGTGAAAGCATTCTATGAGCAGGTGCCCCCCATGTAGTGGGCCTTTCCCTGGCAGCCTACCCAACATTCCCTCCCAATGTGATGGGCCACTGCTGCTAATACCATGGGAGTTCTCACCCCTATATCAGAGGGCATTGGGTATGGGGGGGACTGTTTAGCACCGTGCTCTAGTCCCAACAATGGGTGGATGCGGGAGGCGAGAACAACGTGATGTCCACGAGATTGGAACCCGGCCGGACTATCCCATCCCTTTCCCATCAGTCTCATGCAGGTTTATTCAGATATCAGTCCCCCTGTGTCTGCGTGCATTGGAGTGCAGCTTCAAGTCCTGCCCTTCCTGTTTTTTCCTCAGTCTCAGAGATCCCAAACAGAAGCAGTGACATTCTTGGCCAACCACGATGACAGCAGAGCTCTCTATGCAATTCCAGGTAAGCCAAAGGGGGCGAGGAGTTGGGAACTCTCACCCTTAAGGAAAGGTGGCTGAGAAGGAGGCGGTAGTGCCCTTCGCACATCGGAAAGGATGGGACTCGGGGGAAGACCTGTTCCAGAGCACAGGATGTGGAATGATGCCATCAGGAAGGCAGTAGCTGATTGAAAGTTAGGAAACACAGCCTAGGAGCAGAAGCGGTTGGATAGGAGCGTGCTGGCCCAGGGAGGGGATGGGCTCCCCTTTGCTGAGTATGTCGAAGCAGAGGCCGGGCAGCCATCTAGCTGGGAGGCTTAAAATTGGATGCCTGCCCTGAGCAGGACTTGGTGTCCCCTCTTATCTCTGCGCTTCTGTGACCTTGAATGCCCCCTTTGGCTGGTTGGGGAGGGGCATGAGATTACTAGCCCTGCCCCAGGTGGTCTGCAAATGTTTGCAGCCTTCTTGGAATAGAGGGCTGCCCTGCTGCTCTAAGCTGGAAAGAGGGGTGAGGGGATGCGCTGTCTGCTGTGGCTACTATTCCTCCCTGCCCTAGTTAGTGCAGATGCTGACAAAGCACCCAGTGAATTGTGAATGCTAGTCTTTAGTCAGGTTCCCAGTTACTAGTTGCAGAGATGGATAACATTGGAAGCAGTTGGTTCAATAATGGGAGCGAGGGGAGAACCTGGGGCTACTGATTTCACAGTGGGCAGGTAGACGACCTCCAAAACAATTAGAGAGTAGAACTATAAAATCTGGAAAATATTCTGTAACTAGATTCCTGAAAAGAGAAGAAACCTTTTTTGCACAAAGAAATGGGGAGAAGCAATGCATTTCATGCAAGGGCCTTGCTGATTTTTACTTGAACCTTAAGAGTTTTTCAGTGTGTGCCATCAGGTGCGATATGTATTTCACAGCTACGAATCTGCTGCTGTCTGTTACACCTACAGGCAAGATTATACCCTGAAGCTGAGATTAATGCGTACTTACCTGCCCCAGTTCTCTGGTGCTGGCCTTTCCCACTTGGCGGCTTTAAAAGTCTTACAGCAACTTTTCTGTCTGAGAAATTAATCTGTTTTGTGACTGAGACACACTTTTCTCTGGGCTTCTTTTCAGGACTTGACTATGTAAGCCACGAGGACATTCTCCCGTATACGTCCACGGATCAGGTGCCCATCCAGCATGAGCTCTTTGAACGGTTTCTCGTGTATGATCAGACAAAAGGTAATTCTGCACCCAGGCCCTCGCAATTCCAGGAGCGGGGCTGGCTTTTGAAAGGAGTTTGGGGGGGGATGTGGACAGATGATTCTGGGGGCGCACTGACCAAGCAAAGTTCCTTGTTCCCTCTCCCAGTGGGAAGAGACCCGGGCCAGTGTAGCTTGAGGTGCTCTGTGTACTGATTCAGGGTCTGCTAAAGAACATCAGAGGTGCAAACGGGGAGGGCAGGTAGACAGGGCTGCCTGGGGCATTTGGCTAAGCTGAGTTGAGCCTGAGCTGCATCTGGAGCCAGGCTGGTTGCCTCCCTGCCTGCTGAAGAGAGGTGTCTCCTGGGAGGTGCAGTGCCCTGCTGGCCTTGGAGAGAGTCAGAGGAGCAGTGGAAGCAGAAGGTGTCCGAGGCACCGCGCCCAAACACCCACGCGGAGCAGACGGCCTGGTGCTCAAGATGTGGCCGGGGCAGTGCATTTTTCCCCTGGGGATGCTGCTCCAGGCCATGGCGGAAAGGCAGTTGGCTGGGATCTTGGGAGGGAGAGGCGGACCTGTCCTTAGGTGGGTCGCGGCCCATAGGAAAAGGAGTCTTCCCTGGCTGGCAGACCTCCAGCTAGGAAGAAGGCAGCGACCTGTGCAAAGATCAGAACGCCTCCATGAGGAGAGGCAGGTGCTAGGAGGGACAAGGTGCAGCTGCTCATCGAGACGTACTTTACGGGGAGGGAAGATTTAATGTATTACCTGTGTTTTTCTGCTGCTTCTGTCATTTTGTTCTGGGGGGCTTACAAGCAATGGCATGGAATAGGGAATAATGGAGTGATAAAACTATCAACATATCAAACCAAATACAATCAGAGTTTATAATCATCGAGCTGTAGCCCCTTAACAACCCTCTCCACAGGCACGTTCGGTGGACAGATTCCATGTGGAATAGGTAGCCAGGCCCCAAGCCACGCCACCAGAACCCTGGATTGCACCTAGAAACAACCCAGCAAACCATGCAGCTCTTAAAATACTGGTGTTATGCGACAGTACTGACGTGTTCCGGTTAACATACTGTCTGCTGCATTTTGCAGTACTTGCAGCTTCAAGGGCAGCCCCGCGTCAAGCACGTTACCGTAGGATTTGAGTTATCTGGAGAAAAGGACCTGTTTTCTAGGAGAAGGCAAGATATCTATTGGGAAGAAACTCCTGGCTGGAGGGGAGCTCCTCAGTCCTGTGGGATCCAGATCTTGTGTCAACACATTTCATCAATGGGGGCATCGTACAGTTTATCTCTCTGAGCGTAGCCTGTTTTGCTTACTGGAGCCCAGGGCCCCTGTGTGCCGCATAAACTCCCCGCAGACTCTTAACACCCTCAGGCTGAAAGGGACCTTTAGACTCCCCGCAATAACCAGTCCAGAGATCCACACTGGAGGATTTTTAGCATGTGGCTGGCCAGATCAATGGCTCAGCGCTTCCCCCCCATGCTGTGGTAGTGATCCTGTTGGAATGAGGTTTCCCCTCAGCTCAGCAAGAAGCAAGCACCGGTGCGCCTTCCCCGGTTTTCTCCCGAAGGGGATTTTGCTTTCTGCTGTTGGGCATTTCTGTGGGCAAACGTTCCCTCTCCTGATCGTTTCCCCTTGAAACTTTTGTTTAGTTCCTCCCTTTGTGGCAAGGGATACGCTGTGTGCTTGGCAGGAGAAAAACCACCCGTGGCTGGAGCTCTCCGATGTGCACCGGGAGACCACCGAAAACATCCGGGTCACTGTCATTCCCTTCTACATGGGCATGCGGGTAGGTGCTTGTCTCTGTGCCTGGGGTCCCCAGAGGCCTGGCGTTGCTTGCCTGGCATTTCCCTGCATTTGGAGGAGGAGGAAAGAATAACCAAGGGCAGCAGTAAATATAATACAAAGAAGCAGAGCGCAGCAAACCAAAACACCTATAGATTGATTTACATAAGGTATAAATAAATAACCCATCCTGCTCTGGCCCATCCTGTGTGGCTTTGCGTGAGCCCTTTCAGGTTTTGCTCTGTGGGGCTGAACATGTCAAGGGGGCAGCGCCACCATCCTGGTGAGATTGTGGCAGGGTGGGGCTGAGCTGGGGTTCAGCCACAGGAAACCAGCCTCCTCCTTCTCTTAACAGGAAGCACAGAATTCTCATGTCTACTGGGTGAGTGTTTTTCTTGCGACTGCCTTTGCGGATCGGGGCCTGAGAGGCCTTGCTCTGCCCTCGGAAGGGTGAGGGGAGCCCCCGGCTACTCTGACGGGGCCCCCACTTTCTCCGTCTCCCGTCCAGTGGCGCTACTGCATCCGCCTGGAAAACCTCGACAGTGAAGTTGTGCAGCTCCGGGAACGGCACTGGAGGATATTCAGCTTGTCGGGCACGCTGGAAACTGTCCGTGGCCGGGGAGTCGTGGGGCGAGTGAGTAGGGGTGGCGCTTGGTGATCACGTCACAGCAGAGGCCTGCCCGGCCCTGCCCTGCCCTGCCCTGCCCTGCCCTGCCCTGCCCTGCCCTGCCCGGGGCTGGCGAGGTTTCTTCCATGGGAAGAAATGGGTTTGCTTCCTTTTTGTATGTATATTATTTTTATTAAAAATGTTAAAAAGAAAGATAAAAACGAACAGAAGCTAATATAGAATAAAGATAAGAGGCAAAGCTAACAGAGCAGAAAGAAGGAAAGAAAGAAAATACAAAGAAATAGCTTCTGATTTTCTTCACAGCAGTTATACAGGAAGCATAAATTTATCTCTTACCCTCTGGTTACAACATAACTCACTCTTTTTATGTAATCTATTTTTTCCTAATCTAATTTTCTAAAAAGAGGGCCCTCTGTTCTCCACTCCAGGCCTCAGAACCGTGCTGCTGCTTAAGAGGTGGTTTCGAGAAACTTCCTAAAAGCCGGGAGTGAAGGGGCCAAGCGTCTCTCCAGGGCATTCCATCAGGTTGGGGCCACAGCAGGGAAGGCTTGTCTTCTGCCTTTCGTCTGTTGGTCCCTGGAAGACAGAGACAATTCCCCCCACTCCTGGGCTGATGTGGGTGGGGAAAAAAAGATCATCCACAAGCAGAATTTTTTTAGGGACAGCCCCCTCCCGCCTTTCATTGTTGCATTCTGTTGTAGCAGTGGATAATAAATCAGGATTTGATTTACAGTTGAGTGGACGCACACAGGGGTCACAAGATTAAAAACAGCCAGGTGCCATTAAACCTGAGAAGTCATTCTGAAGGCTCAGAGTTCGATGAAAGGAGCGAGGCAATTTGCGACGAAGACAGGCCTCCCTGGCTTACGGAAAGCTCTCCCTTTCAGCGGCAGCCATGGGGCTGGCGGAGGGCCGTTCCTGGCCGTGACAGTTCTCTCTCTCCCCAGGAACCCGTCTTGTCCAAAGAACAGCCGGCCTTCCAGTACAGCAGCCACGTCTCCTTGCAGGCATCCAGCGGGCACATGTGGTGAGCCTCTGGGGAGCAGCGCTGGGAGCCATCCTTGCCCCTCGGGAGGGAAGGGAGGAAAAGCTTGCCTCGGCCTGGGGGGGCTGGACCAGGGCACGGCGCTCTGCAACCTTCTGCGCCTGAGCAGAGAAGCGGGTTTTCCCTTCCCAGTACTGGGACTCCTGGATGGATGGGAGGGAGTCTCGGTGCTCAGAACGTGCTGGCGCAGGAGGGCCTTCCGAGTGGTCCGCATCTCAGCGCCAGCTGGTGGGGAAACGGCTGTGGTTCTCCTGCCGCCCTCATCTGGTATGGGAACGGAGCATTGGACTAGATCCAGCGCTGCCGGAAGGGCCTTCTCAGGAATGTGGCATGTGAGGACTAACAGTAGCCCTCTCCTTCAACTAGTTCCTGGTAATGGATCGCATCCTTTCCTTAGTGGCCGAGTGCGTTGCCTGTCCATCTCGTGGAGGCCTCACCTTGACCTCTCCTTCCTTCACAGGGGCACCTTTCGCTTTGAGCGGCCCGACGGCTCCCATTTTGATGTCCGGATCCCCCCCTTCTCCCTGGAAAGCAATAAGGATGAGAAGACACCCCCTTCTGGCCTCCACTGGTAGAGCAGTCTTAGGAAGCCAGCTGCCCCCATGCCCCTCTGGACAGTTCTCCTCCTGTAAACCCTGACTCCTCAAGGGCTGAAACTAGTTCTAGGTTTTAAAGAGAACGTTCCTCCCACCCCCATTTCTGCCTTTAAGAGCTGCTGAAACGTGGGCTCATTTGGACTTTGAGATGAGTTGACTTGGCAGTCTTCATCCTCCTGCCACAGGCCTCCGAACGTGGGACACGTAGAACAAAGCTGCTGTGGACAGAACCCGCAAAGCTCTCTGAAGGTGTTGTGTGGACTCTTCCTGTTGCGAGGTGGTGTTTCTATACTCAATAAACCGGCCTCCCTGTTGCAGCTCCATCTTCCTTTTGTCACTTGTTTGTCTCTTGGTCCCACCCCAGGGCAGCAGAAACTAAACCTGGGTCCACACTGGTCCTTCTGGTGTTTGAACAGTATCGTGCCTCTCTGTCCTCTCTTTGCCAGGCCAAAGACACCCGATTCCTTCAGCCACCGCCTCCGTAGCCTGGTTTTCAGCAGTCTCTCTGCCCTCCTCTTAACCTGTTCCAAATCGTGGCCGTGGGACTCTAGAGGCAGCTGCCTGGGCGACTGACTGCACAGCCAGGAAACTGACCGTTTTAAAGCAGCTGAAACCTCACAGATCTCCTCTATCTACCCTCGGCCGGTAAACCTGGCAGAACAAAGGTTCTCAGTGCCCAATCTGGAGGCAGGCATGTTTCCAAGATACAGAAAACCTTTGTCACTGCAGGGTGCGCAGCTGTGACGCCTGTTCCTCAGCCACCCCAGTTTTGTGGTCTTCTAGGAGGCGTCCACCGTGCCATGGAGAGGGCCTCTGCACTTGTAATAAAATGAGGATGTCTGTATCGTCTGGCTTCCTTCGTCTTTTGAAGAGGCAGTTTCCTAGATATTGCACAGAGGGGCACGTCTGTGTGAAAATGACACGTCTATGATTAAGTACACGAGGTCCTATCTGAAGTAGGTGAACTCTATCTCAAGAGGTGTAGCAAGGGTGAAGGCTCGCTGGCTCTCGCCCACCAGCAGCCCGTTCCCTGACCTGCAGCTGTCATCGCTGCTACAGCCCGTGCATCGGTGCAGAAAAAGCGAATGGCCCCCGCTAGTGCTCGATGCCGCCTTTCCTCCAGGAGCTCGGCCAGCGCGACGCCTCTGCCTCCTGCTTTATCCCCACGGCGGCCCCGCGAGGAGGGCCGGGCTGAGCGGGAGACCGGCCCGGCCGAGCTGGGTCTCCCTGCTCCCCGTCCAGCCGCATCGTTCTTACGTGCCCGGAAGCCAGGAAAACGACAATATATTCTTCGCCTGAAATAAGGGCAGAGCCGGAGACGAGCCCCTTCCCCTTGCTGCAGCCTGACAGCGGCTATTCTAAACATCCTGGATTTGCCCGCCTACGTACAGTATTCATTTATCGGGCTTATCCGGTGCTCCGAGGGCTGGTTACAGAGCACCGCATCCACCTCCGACAACTGGATTTAAGGAACAGCACGACGGCGCGGCCGCTACATAAACCCGGGCACGCGCCCCAGAGGGGCAGAGGGCCGGCCCATCCCTCCCCTCCCCGGGGAGT